TTTTTCATTTGACTGAAATAAAAAAAGTAAGACGATGAAAAGAACTGGAGAAGTTTATAAACCGACCTAAAGTTGATTTTGAGTTCCAGGATGATGTTGCGAATATGAGTGATGTGTTTGATGTGATGACCCCCGAAGAGATATTTAATTGGAAGCTGAAATGTGTATCGAAGCTTTTAGCAGAAACCCCTAGTTTCCAAAACATCCTGTTGTGTAAAGATTATGAGAGTATGTACTTATGAGAATATTGTTGTGCATAATATCTTTGGAGTTAATCTCTTCTATGATCCTCGGTAGTGAAAATAATTAGATAGATTTGCGAAAAAATGTATATATTTCTTTGGCAATATATGCAAAATTTAATAAAGATTTGCTTTATAAAGATTTCCCTTCTATGATCCTCAGTAGTGAAAATAGTTAGATAGATTTGCGAAAAAATGTATATATTTCTTTGGCAATATGCAAAATTTAATAAAGATTTGCTTTATAAAGATTTCCCTATATAATTATATAAATCACTGCCCATCACTGGTTACATCAGAAATGCGATGCTAAGATTACGAGTTTATACATTCTCATCTTCGATGACGTCTTATGTTATAGTCGCAATTATTTTTTTTCTTGGGAAAAGTGATTGGCAAACCCGAGACCAAAAGTCCCACTTCGGATTTTTAGTTCAAACTTTTGAAAGCAATGACAAATATAAAGTCTAAAATTGATTCGTTGCAGGAATTAAATTCTCAACTCATTGCCACAATCTCCGAGCTTAGAAGGAGAATGCCAAGATTCCCGAACTAATTCTCCCACACTACAAAATTTAATCGATATAATGATAATGTTATGTATGAGACCGGCAGATGTGAGAAACCTCTGTATCAAATATTATAAAGCAGATAGTATAATCCTAAATATTCTTGGTACTGCGCTGGATATGCCAAAATAAAAAAGATGAACCTAGACCATTAGTATCTATGGAGAAAGATCCACTACTGGCTAGAGATATTTGGATCCAGAAAGCAATTCTTAACGAATTCCCATTTTTAATAAGAGATAAAGATGGTGATGTAAACGTTCACCCAATTAATAATTTCCTAGCTGTTTATGGAATACGCTCATCACATTTGAGAAAAATAGGGTCCGAACATGCTATTATAATTCATAAAGGTAAGAATAGTGCCCAATGTAAACGTCTCCGTCAATTAGCATTAAGACACAAGGTAATTAATATTGCATCAGATCATTATGGTTTGATGAATAACAAACTGAATACTCCAGCACTTAGACAAGAAAATAATGAGATATCAGATATTATTGATTTATATCGCACTTTAGGGATAGG